GATCATCCTCATTGATTCTAGTGACATAAACGGCTTTATTGCCCTAATTGCATAACAAGTCTTATTTAACCTCAATGATAAATCGTAATAAGGTTACTCCAAGATAAGGTACTGTCAACATTTATTCCCAAGAATTTAGTACAGTTGATATTTGTAATAATTGAATTATTAGCTATTATTTGCAATTCTATTTCCCTGTGCTTTTTTAGAAAGAATTGCATAAGGTGTGATTTGTCACAATTTAATGTTAGAAAGTTACTATTAAACCACATAATTGTTTCGTTCAGAACTAATTTGATATTATTTTTAAATTCTTCAGAATTCGTGTTTGATATGATAATACTTATATCATCAGCAAATAATATTGGATTACCTATTTTCTTAACGGATAATGGGAGATCATTTATATAAATGAGGAACAATAAAGGCCCCAATATAGAGCCTTGTAGAACTCCATATTTAACTAGTTCCCATTTTGAAGACACTTTATTAAGTTTTATATCTTTCATTGATACTCTCTGATATCTATTTTGTAGGTGTGATCTCATTAACTTATTTACCATGCCCGAGATTCCATAGAATTCCATTTTTGCCAGGAATATGTTGTGGTTAACACAGTCAAACACCTTTTGTAGGTCACAATATAAACCACCAACATAATTGTTTTTGTCTAAAGAAGACAGTATATTATTGAAAAAATGTGTGTTGCCATTTCAGTAGATGATTTTTCTCTAAATCCAAATTGTTTAGTAACCAATATATTGTGCTTATTTATATGGAAGTATAATGTTTTATAAATGACTATGACTATGTCAACACGTGAAAGCCAGTGGACCTTTCTTCTCGAACACTCAATTATTATTAAATTGATAATAAAACATATGAATTGTTTTGAATGAAGGTGCCCATCACGTTTGAAAATGGGCACAAAACCGCCTCTGTGTGACCACAACACTTCTTGTTTCAATAAAGAACAACAGTGTTTTTATGCATTGTTCTACAAACAGTCTTTGTTTGTCAGTCATCTTGTGTAAACTGGCACACAAGCAGGATGAACACGACACTAGCTCGTTCAGGAAGTATAAGAACTAATCACCATGATCTGCTGTAAGTGTTACCATGTTACTAAACATTGTTCATTGCATTATTGAATATTTAATACAAAATCAAATACTGGATCATTTTGTGCACCACCCTGTATGTTCACCTCAGCATCTTCTTTTCTCTTTTCTATCAATAAGAAAATGCAGTTCCACAAGGTTCAGTTTTATGTATCTGCCTCTTGTTACTATTATGATCAATGGGATGGTGGGCATGGTTCATCCATTAGTCTATATACTAGGACTGTGTTCATTAAAAATACAAGATGTGAATTATTTTCAAAATTTCACTCTTTTGATTCAAAATAGTCTCCTTCTGAATCAGTACACAGCTGGAATCAATTGAAAAGTTTTCAAAAACAGTCACTATACCCCTTTTGTGGAATTGCATTTAAAGGATGTCCTGGATGGTTTCGTGACAGTCTCCTTTCATAGCCAACTAAACTTTTAGGAACAACCAGAAATCTGTTGGAGCCAAATCTGGTGAATACAGAGGATGATCAAGGACTGTGTTCCTTTTTCTGACCAAAATATCGCACATGATCTTCGATTTGTGGGATGGGACATTGTTGTGGAGGAGCGACCAGGAATGTTGCTCTCAATATTCAGGTCAAATTCGACATAATAATCAGAATTCACTGCTTGACCTTCTGGCAGAAATTCCCTATGAATAATTCCTTTGGAATCGAAGAAAACGGTTAGCAGTGTCTTTACTCGACTCTTTTGCATGCACACTTTCTTTGGGCTCAAACACGCTGCACTCTGACGCTTTGTGAGAGGCTCATATTGAAAACACCATGTCTTGTCACCAGTAACAATCGATTTTGTAAATTTTGTATCACTTTGGGCTGACCGTAACATGTCTTTGCAGCGTTCCACTCTGGCATGTTTTTCATCGCCTGACAGCACATGTGGTACAGACCGCGCACAGACCTTCCATTTGCCAAAATCCTTAGTCAAAATTCGATGCCCAGTACTTTTTGGTATTCCCAAAAGCTCCTCGATGAGTCTTGCAGAAACACATCTCTCTGATGCAAGGATTTCGGTCACTTTTTTCGAATTTTCTTCAGTGCGACTTGTTCGCGGCTTTGATGCATGTGGAGGGTCTTCAGTGTCGTCCCTGCTGTCACAAAATACAGCATATCATCGAAAAATGTTCGAGCAACTCAAACAATCACTACTGTACATCATTTCATAAGCTTCTCTAGGCTGTTTTGCCTAACTTCAAACAAAATTTGATGTTGGCTCTCTGTTCAACCACCATTTTCCAATGAGCATCAGAACAGTACTGTTACATTCAAGGTCAGAACACATGATGCAGCGATTCTTGCGCTTTGAAATTATAGACAGCCACAGCTGAAACTTCAAGAATCTTAATGCCACAACTTGCCAACAGATGGCATTGCAGGCAGAATTTAAAACAATTAGTCCTAAGGGATCCTGAACACACTGTGTATATATTAAGAATTTGGTGGCCTAAAACCATTTCAGATTGAGAGCCCTGGCAGTCATCTGCCCAAACAGATATAAATATGACGATAAGGAAATGAAATTTAAATTGATTGGATACATGCTGAGGAAGGAACTGAATAGTCCTCATTGGAATCCTCAAGGAATTAGAGGAAAGGGGAGTCCAAGAAACAGTGGGAGGAGGTCCACTCAGAGAATCTGGAACTAATTGCAATGAGCTGAGGTATTTAGTAGCAGATCAGGACAATGGAAAAAGCTTGTAGACAACTTATGCTTCTGAAGTTTTAGCTCCTTTTTAGTGTGTCTGAAGTTTTTTACAAACCAATATACATTCTGTTCTAATAAGATTTTTAAACATGATATTTATTGCTGTAAAAGGTAAAGCTATCCCTGTAACAGGCCGTGAAGGTCCATAAGGTTGTGAGACATCGAGGCTCCCGCATTTAATCTAGACATTCAGCTCACAGATGTCGGTAAGGTTGTGAGCCTTCCACGCTGGCCACCCTTTACCATTGCCATTTGTATTGTTTATTTTACCAAGTGTTAGACCATATTACAGTCTGAAATGGGTCTGTGTGTAGTTAATTGTATACTGTATTGAACAAAAGGTTATCTAGTTGGATATCTGTAGGGGTGCATATCACCATGGATGATAAGGTACCAATAAATACACTGATACTCTGACTTCAGGTTTCTACATTGTCTTTTGTAACAGGATCAATGGAATGTTTTGACCGTTAATTCTTCATTGCTTTGTTATGAGTAATATAAACATATGTTTGTAATACATTTACCACAGTGTTTTATTACTTTTATAAGTGATACATATTTCCTCACATTTTGAATCATTTATCATGGAAGTAAAAAATATGTACTGAATAAAATTACAGCCTTTGCCTTCTGCAACCTTCACTCTGCTATGATGTGTAGCTTAAAGTTCTCAGTATGTTTAGGTGTTATGCACAGAAGGTGATTTTGTGCCATGACAGGAATCACATTTCTGTTTGCAACAAAATAGCCTGTTATTTATCCACTTAATTTAGTGCAGGATTATATATTTAGTGATGTCAGGGAACTTTGTACAGCATAGTTAACAGCATGGCAGTTATTATTCTGCTTCCTTCTTCATCAGGTTCATTCAGGCTGACCCATGAGTCCAAAGAAATTATTCTGATTCTGTCAGAGTAAAAAGTTGGTTGAGTGATTTGTTGAATAGATGTTGCACATTTTTGTAAGAAATTCTGTCTGTCTTGCCACAGTACCCTCTTCTTCATATTTCCTTACGTCACTACATACTCTACATCTGAAAACAATTTTTCTTAATATTCATAAATTTCCCAAATATAAGCCAGAATACCATGTCTTCCCCCCCCCCCAGAATCTTTCATAATTTTGGTGCTGTGGAGTAAAATTAATACTCTTTGATGAAGACATTTTTATCAGTTCATATCTAACATAATATGCTTTCATGTGCTTTCCTGGTAGAAGGAAATACTTCATTGTCTGTTGAAGATATGAAAGTTCCATTACAAACTGTTTGCACAATGCTGCAGTGTACACTTCGTGTTTCTTCTGCTATTTCTCATGTTTATGGACATTTATATTATTAAAATGTTGTAATTGCTAAAATATAGATTTGAAGCGCTTCTAGACGATGTAAATATTGCACTTAATCTGACGATGCAGCAGTGTAAACATAGATCTGACTGGCAGGGGGAGGTTTGATTTTTTCCCTGGCCTTTCCATGACAGCTGCTACAGTCTCTTTTTGTTTCACACTCATGAGACACTGTCTACACTTGACATGTTCTGTTGATGTAATTAGTCGTATCCCAACTACAGGGAGTGGCAGCAATGCCTTATATAAGCTCCATGTTCCACTGGCCTGGTGTGTAGCACCTAGTTAGAGCCCCTTCCCAGGGTTACATGGTGGGTAGACAGGACTTGTTAGCCATGATAGGCAACCTGTCTAAGGGAAGGAAACCTTCTTTCAAGAAAGGGGGTTTTGCAACAGGCTGGTAACCTGCTCAAGTAGAAGAGAGTTACTCATAATCCTTAAAGCTGCTTCATGTTTGAGGACAGACAGGCTGGCACACTCAATCCTTACAGAGATGATGACAAAATATTTCTAGAGTTATATTATAAAGTGTAATTTTATAATGAGTATGACTGTAATTGGAATGCATGTCACTGAGCAATGTTTGTTAAAGTGAAATTTGTTGTAAATGTATATCATATCTTCAGAACTACAATTCAGTATAAATACCATATTTGTGTGAAGTTAACAGACTTGTGGCTGCTTCATCCACATAGTATGCATTTTATGGAGAAATGTGATGACCTCTTTGTATCCATCTGTCAATCATCATTAATATAGAACTCCAGACTGACCCTATATGTTGTAATGAGATCATTGCTTCATGTGATACAGGGATACGTAGGGCTGTCTGCGCTTATGGTGCACTCTAAGCCATACCATGACAGTGAAGAAATGTTGCCAATGTGCTATCGGTGCTCTACATACAACCCTCTGATGACCAGCACAGCCAACTGCTGCACTAACTGTAGACAACCTTTCGTACATTCATTTGTTTCATTTGGTAAGTCATCATGTAATCTTCCTTGTGAGAACATTTCACAGTTATTCATTTGTATAATAAGTCCTCTATTTCCATTTGCCTTTAAACTGAACAAGTTCACATTCAATTTCCTATTTTTATGGCTCTTATGCTAGCCAGTGGCTGTGCCACATTTAAAATATTAAAATTTATACATTAGGTTTTTCTGTTAGAACACAAAGTAACTGGTCAATCTGTATGTGACAGATAATCAGTCTGATTCTCTAAGTCATTTATTTTGTCAGTGACTGTTAGGTTTGACATTTTGCCATCCCTGGAAATATTACTGGGAATCATTTTGTGGAAGTCCTTTAGTCACTCACTCACTCATGGAGCTGAGCCCTTCTTGAGAAGCTGCCAATTGTGCAGCTAGTAAAGAGCATACCAGAATTCTATGGAACCCGAAAGTTCACCACCATATTCACAAAAGCCCTCCACTTCGCCCTATCCTGAGCCAGATCAATCCAGTCCATACAATATAATCCCATCCTATCTTTCTAGGATCCATTTTAATATTGTCCACCCACCGATGCCTTGGTCTTCCCAGTGATCTCTTTCCAGCTGGCTTTCCCACAAATATCCTATATGCATTCCGCTTTTGCCTCATTCATGCTACATGCCCTGCCCACCTGATCCTCCTTGACTTGAACATTCTAATTATACTTTTTAATTATTCTAATTGATGTGGTATTTTTCAAAGCCTGATTTTGAGAAGGCTCATTCACGTGTTTCTAGCTTTCTAAGGAATCTAGGTCATTTTAAAATGTGCTGGCATTCTGTTTCAGGTAATGCGTGTATTGGAACTTTCTTTATTTTTGTCTTTGTATAGACTTGTGAAACTGTGTATTATTTCACATCACACCAGCTGGTCACATTGGTCTTGATAGTAAAAACAAGGAACCCAAGCCCAGGAAAGGATATAACGTATTAGTTTGTCTTTGTCTTGATACATATTTAGTCCTTGTCCATTTTCTTTTTCCAGCTGGGGACAGGTACTCTTGAGTTTTGTGTTATAACTTTATGGTTTTAGTACACTTACATATGTAACAGTATATATGTCGATCATTTTATATGTATGTAAGTTTTGAGGTTTTCACGGCGATGACAATGAAGAAAGTCGTCTTCTGGGTTTAGNCAAGAAGAACCGGTAGGTTGGGGACAGGCTACCTACCAGTTCTTCTTGTCTACCGCACTTCCTAGTGCTATTGACCTCAAGGTTCCTGGATTCACTGGCCGTTCCCCCTACCCTTAGTCAACACAACACCATGTATGGTCTTAATCGCTCCCCGCTGCTCCCATTGGTCCGTTCTCCCTAACCAACCACCCCCTGCCTACTTCATATATAAGCAGCGACTTTCACATCCTATCACTACAGCTACTGCTCTCCGCATTCCAAGCCATTCAACTGCTCTGAAGATGGAGGCGCTACGTTGCTCCGAAACGTCGGCCAAAACGAAGAATACACGGTGCCTAAACCCAGAAGACGACTTTCTTCATTTTATATGTAGTTTCTGATTTAGACTGTTCAAATACAGCATGTCTCTTAGTTGAGTACAAGTGGCAGTGGTCATTCCAGCGATTATGATATGAAGCTTCAGAAATCAATTTTTAATGTATGTAATTTCTATAAAATGTATACCTGAGTAAAAATGAAGAACTGAATCTTTCTAAATGCCAGGACCTTACAACTGAAGCATTCTTAGTATGCACATATGCAGAGAGGCAATGGTAAATGGTACCATCCCTCTGCTTAATTAATTAAGCACCATGCCATGGAAACATATGAGGGAGGAGAGCTATAGCTCCACCATCCTTGGCCTTGGCATTAGGTGAAGTTGGGTGGTCAGCTTCATACCCTTACTGCTTTACCCCCAGGGCAGAAGCCCCAGTACCCATTGAATAGGGGTTGGTTGTGCTCCAGAGATGTTGAAGAAGATAAAATCTGTTGCCTCACTGTGACTCGAACCCTGACTGTCCATACCGTTGCTATGCCGACTGAACTATTGCTGTCCAAGGAGGGGAGAAAGGATTGCATGTTGATTCTGTCACCCAGAAAGCATATAAAACTTCCATAAAGAGTGACAAACAAAGGCGAATTTCCTACTGCCAAAAAAGTAACACTTGCTGTCTGGGAAAATATTGCATATAAAAGTTCAGTCACTATTTCATCCATTTGTTTTTATGAAATCGTTCACTTTTATTCTTGTGTAAAGGTAAAGCTATCCCTGTAATAGGTCATGAAGGCCCATAGGGTTTTGAGATGTCAAGGCTCCCATATTTTCTGGACAACTGGCTCACAGATGACAATAAGGTTGTCAGCCTTACACGCTAGCCGCCCTTTACCCCCAGAAAGATTTTTATTCTTACATAGTCAGTTTAAATATCAGTTCCTAACACCGCTGCTGCAAAGCATGTGTGTGCTGAATGTCAAGAGAGATGAATCCTGTCATATGTAGTTGTTTACACATAAAGAAAATCGCTTTGTGGAACAGATGGAAAGTACGTAGGTCGTACTGAAAGTCATGAGCAACATTTTTTTGCATGCAACCTGGGAACAGCAAACGAAACAGAGTACAGTAGTAGGTGGAACCAGCTGTTATGTTAACCTTGAGTGTCTTGTGATGTCAATAGCTTGCATCACATGACCAGTATCACTCCTAACAAAATGGCTGACAACGATATGTCGTTTCGCCAGCGTGCTGTCATCGAATATCTTGTGAAAGAGGAAATCCCTGTTGCAGAAATTCACCAGAGACTTCAGCGTGCTTATGGAAGTGTTTGCATGGGTGCGAGCAGTGTTCGAAGATGGGTGAAACATTTTAAAGATAGGAGCACCAGCATCGAAGATGAGCCTCGGAGCGGCCATCCTTGAACAGCCTCAACTGAACGCAACAAGGAAAGAGTTGATGAGATCATTCAAGATGACAGGCATGTGACTGTGGACACAATAGCCCGAAAACTTGGAATAGGGCACAGTGCAGTACAGGAGATGATTGAAAGCTTGGGCTATAGGAAAGTTTGTGCTCGTTGGGTCCCGCGGTTATTGACCGAAGACCACAAAGGTCAGCGAAAAATCATCACCTCAGAACTGCTGCAGAGATATCGACACGACTGATGATTTTTTTGCTCTGTATTGTGACAGGTGATGAAAGCTTGTTTCAGCATTTCGAGCCTGGAACGAAACGGCAGAGTATGGAATGGCACCATTTGCATTTTCCATCAGAAAATAAGGCAAAGACAGTGCCATCACCTGCGAAGGTGATGGGAACAGTCTTCTTGGATGCAGAGGGATTTATTCTGGCCGAATTCCTGGAACCTGGGCAAACCATCAGTGCTGCTCATTATGTCCAGACGCTGCACAAGCTGTGTCGTGCATTGCGCGATAAACGTCCATGACAAAACATCATCATCCTGCATGACAGTGCTTGCCCCCACGCCACTCGCCTCACATTGAAAGCAATTGCAGAGATGGGGTGGGAAGTTCTTCCACACCCCTCCTATAGCCCTGATCTGCACCCTCCAACTACCATCTTTTATGATTTGTGAAGGATCAGCTGTATGGACAACGTTTTGAGACAAGGTAGGCAATTCAGAAAGCAGTGCATCAGTGTCTTCGGATGGCTGGAATGGAATTTTACAGAAGGGGAATTTTCAAACTCCCAGAACGCTGGGAAAAATGTGTACAAAGAAGTGGCGATTATGTGGAAAAATAAAGAAAGGTCTGTAGATTGAGTTGGTGTATTTGATTTGTCAATAATAAAGCATGTTACTTTACAAAAAATTGTTGCTCTTGACTTTCAGTATGACCCTCGTACTTCTTGAAATAATCCACAACCAAACTGAACTTGCTTAATGCACAAAATACCAGTAAACACCATAACTGATAGTAAAATGTTACTGGACCCCATTTCATATGTACACAGTTCATGCGGAACTGCAGAACAAATACAGTAAGGACTTGAATCTTACTTCATTCTCAAATGCACACTGACTGAAAATAAATCACACTGGTTTTGAAAAATTAGAAAAGAAGTTTACCGTCCCATGGAAATCAAATTAATGCCTTCAGTTCCTTGTGTGCACCATCTTCCCCAGCCAACAAGGAATTTATTTCTCAATCCCAACCCTCACCCTCCTCAGAGGGTGATTCAAGACATAAGTTCCATTGTAATATGGCATCTTCCACCAATACCTACTAACATATACTAAACAGTAATTTTTTGTAACATCTAGCACCAAGTTGCAATGTCGAATGAGTGAATGAATGAATGCATAGGGGTAGGCGTAGACTAGCCCTTGCACCATGACCCTCAGTGATTTATAATGACAGGATCATCTGATATGTAAGAAGGAACAACTTGACTCAGCATCAGGTGTAGGGAGGGAGCGGTGATGACATCGATGAAGGAAGGACAGTAGAACCTAATCTGACTAGGTAATGAGGCTGGAGGGCTGATAATATAGAAAGCAGCTGAGAATTGTGGAAGGCTGAAAATCCCTTGCTGTATTTGCAGATTATTTAGTAAACCAAAATTCACAAAAAGAGAAGTGGAAAATTGTCGTTATTTATGTTCAGTTCTGGTGGGGAGGAGAACAACTGTTCACTAAATGAGCATTAAATCTGGATTTCTTTGTATAACTTACAAGTTTTTATGGATGTGAAAATTTGGCCATTCTTAGAAAGAAGAATCTGTTTGAGAATGAAATATCTTAAACTAAGAGGCAGAAAATTAGATAATACAGAGCTACATAATTATTTATATTCTTGATTGTAAAGGTGATGAAATAAAGGCTGGGTTGGACTTAGAGGAACCAAGAAAGGAATACACACTTTTTGAGAGATGTGGAAGAGCACATTGGGAGACCTAGGCATAGATGTAAAAATAATATTAAAATGAATTAGGGTATGAGAATTTGACTTGAACTGAACTAGGTCACGATAGGGTCTAATGACAGGGTGTTTCAGACACATTAATGAAACTTCAAGTTCCATGAAAATGGCTGTGTTTTATGACCTGAACAATTTTCAAGGAAGATTTTCTGTTCCTCTAGAGGTCTTGCCATTGGTTGAGTTCCAACTAGAATCAGGCATCTCTGATGAAGAAGCAGTTAATCTAATTGAAGCTCCAACTCCTGTCACTGAAGAAACCAATCAAACAAGAGGCTGGCTCCAAAGTGAAAGTGACACCTTCCAGACCATTCAGTTTGATGAATCACCTGCAGACATAAAAGACCCCTTCACTGCTCGACTTATGAATTTTGAGGTATGTTACCTGCTGTGTTATAACTGAGTTTCACATGACCACATGTTGTAAGTCATGCCTGCCTGCAAGTATAACTTAGATAATGTTCCAGATTTAATAATGTTCATGCCAGCAAACTGTGGGAGCCAAAAAGGCAACTTTTGTTAAACCTGCCATAAAATATTGTTGTTTTTTCTTAGAGGCTCTCATGTCACATGTAATTCATTATTTATATACTAATCTTTAAACACCAGACTTCTGAAATGGTGGTAAGCTTAAGCTGGCCGGAGTTTATTTAAATGCCCGTTGCTACTCTCCATTTAAATGTCTGTTCCTGTTAGGGTGCTTAAACAATTTTAACCATTGTGTTTAAAAATGCTGTATCTAACTCGATTTTTATGATAAATGGATGGAATTAACTTTTTTTTTTATCAGCAAAGAACATAGTGTCGCATATTATGATGGAAGATTTTCTAATTTTTATACAAAGAGTTATACTCTATTTTCATTTTTTTTTTTATGCATACTGCAAAAATGGTTTACCAGTTCTTCACAGAATTGTTCTGCATTTTAAATTCATTTCTGTTTGTAACACTTGACAAATTTTAGCAGTCCCTGGTGTCATAAAACAGATGGAAGCAATAAAATCATTTGGTCTTCAGCTAGCACTGCTTACACACTCAGAGCTTTTAATCTTTTGACTAAAGGACAGAAGAATGAAGGCATGGCTATTCAAGAGAAAGCTAGAGGGGTCTCTTCTTCAGTGCTATGACCTTCCGTTATAGCTGCAAGAGATTATTGCCCTTTCTAGGGTCGTGAACAGACAGTTGCATCGTGGCTGAGAGACAGAGTGTGATCTGTTTTCTGTGCATTCATAGTGAAATCGAATATTGTAGTTTCATTTCAGCCTATATATGCATCAAGCAGATAACAACAAGAAAGGTATATACATCGAATTTTACAATATATTTTAACACATTAATCTGCAGAATCTGCAATAAAATTCCTGGCTCGTGGATGAGTTTGGGCATAACTCATACGTATATTCTTTTTTGCTGTTGTTCACTTAGGTATCATTTTAATTCCTCTATTATGGTTTTTCTCAAGTCTGTCAGGTAATTACTACATTTAAGAATAAATATTTAGGACTGTGCATGCGCTTCTACTAGCGGCGTGTTACGCGCACTTCCACTGGCGGAGTTTAAATGCCCAACTGGCCACATGTCTTTGTTGTTCTCTGTTCTGTATGTTAGTGCACTGGTTGTATGGTTCAGGTTTTTTCGATAGAAGTTGGTCATCCAAATGGTAAAGAAATTCCTTTGCTTCTGTGGAAACATTACTCTATCCCAAGCCAGCTGTGTGCACAGTCCTTATCAACACATGCCCTTCTTCCCATGGATAGATCATGTGAAAGAATCTATCCATTCCTAAGATTCCATTTTGTAATACGGTTAAAGGTTGTTAGTATCATGCCCAAACACCAAGAGAACCGCTGTCTCCATGGGATTAAAGAATAAAGCCTAAAATATGGCAGGAGGATTTTATGTAGAAATTCCTCAACAGATCCGATTGACTGATTAAGGGGTGAGCCACAGCAGCCCCTACACAGTGAACATATGTGAGCCTTTATGTATCCCCCCCCCTCCATTAGCGTCATAAGAGTCCCAGATCTAAGAAGAAGTGCAGTACTTTGCTTGTTTGAGTGTTTAAATAGTTTCTTAATGTCATAAAGTTAAATCTCAAGTTATCTAGACCCTTAACCCTTTCTGGTCATTGTGTTTGGAAAAATTTGTGCAGCTAGGTTGCCAAGGGATTTTAAATGTTCGCAGAGCCACTAAGCGAGCTGTTTTGCTCGAAAAGTTGGTGCAACAAGGGCATAAAGTGAAAAAAGCAAAATTTATGTTTACTAGCGCAACGCAAGAAGACAAGTTCTCTGCCTTGTAGCGGTGTATGACATCAAGTGTGGAGAGAGGTTGTAGTGGTGCAACAAGGGCATAAAGTGAAAAAAGCAAAATTTATGTTTACTAGCGCAACGCAAGAAGACAAGTTCTCTGCCTTGTAGCGGTGTATGACATCAAGTGTGGAGAGAGGTTGTAGTGTTTAACTGGCTCAAATTGTCTGCTGCTCTCTAGTATAAAATTACACATATTCCTCTCTTATAACTCTCACTCTTCTATGTACACAAACAACAAAAACCCAATAAACTGTGGAACCTACACTAAAACTTTTTGAAGTTATTGAGAGTGTGATATCTTCTGAAGCATTCCCCCGGACACATGGCCAGTTGATTTATACAGGTCTTACAATAGAAGTATGTTTCTTTTCTGGCTCCCTTGGCCTTCCGATTGCTGCACACAATGCAGTCTTGACAACCTTTTTCCATAGTGGTAGAGAAAGGTAGACACTGTATTTAGTCTGTCTTCTCTCTCAGCTGATCCCAGATGTGAACTCTTTCTTGGGTTGTGCACATCACCTACTGGATTTTCCTTCAACATCAGATACACTGAAATTAGTCTGTCCATCAAGGAGAGAACTGTTCTTGAAGTGAAAGGTTTTTCTGAATATGGCAAGTTTCATGCTTCACCTGTAAGTTTTCAATAATACAGAAATATACTGTGAACATAACCAATGTTACTGTCATCTAATACAAATAGTCTGATGCCCCACCTTGTAGGTTTTTTTGGATTGTAAGTTTTGAAAATTATTTTGCCCTTGAATCCAACTGTTGATTCATCTATTGCAATGTTTCTACCTGGCACACAATATTTCTGAAACTGTTTCTCTATATGTTCTATCACCCCATGTACTTTCCTTATTCTTTTGATGACCTGATTGCTTTCTTCCGTGGTATCATTTCCCATATGAATCATCCAAAGTATCTGCAAAAAGCGAACACACTACATTATATCACCAAAAAATGGTATCTGTGTTGCCCACTCATTTTTCTTCTCCAGGAAACTGATATTTTCTAATATGAGACACTGAGCATCGTGATCTGATAGTCCATTACTAATAGAGATTACTTCATATGAATTTATCCTTGCCTTATCTATAAAAATCAACTGCAGAGCTTTTGGTCTCAGTTATTCTAGTTTGAAACTGTACTGTGTGAAATATATTATATGATTGGAACAGCACTAATAGCTGTGTTTTACGTGTTGACTCTTCTAAAAATTTTACGTTAAAATCACCACATATTTTAAATTCAGTTCTTGGTTTATAGAATAATTTGAGTACTTTATCCAACTTATTTACAAAGTACTCAAAATTCCCTCAAGGTGACCTATATATACACAGTACAAATGTGTCAGTTTTAGCTAAAGAAATCTTAAGAATTAATTTCTATGTTTTTTTCATCACAGAACTGTGCTAAATTTATATCAGTAAATTTTATATCAGATCTTATGTATATACAAACGCCTTCTCCTTGATGAGTTGTACAGGCATACTTTGTTCCCAATAAATAGTTCTGGAAATTGCTGTGTAATAAATTCTGGTCAGACATGAGATGCTCAGATAAGCATATTAAGTGAGGACTTATATTATTGCTAACTATTGAACACTTCAATTCATCAATTTTGCCACCAAGACCTCTGATATTTTGATGTACAAGAATTAGAGAGTCTTTAGTATAATTACACTTATTGAAACGAGACTCATTTGATTTTACTCCCATAAAAAAATCATCATTTCTGGTGTTGGTCTTCTTTTTCATCTGTTATTATGCTCTTTCCCGATCAAGGATTGTTTCTATTACCTTTCGTTGATTACTGATGTCATTTCCTCTATAATATTTTTGTGTACACCCACTGTCTGCTCATAATGACAATCACTCAAGTTCTCACTTTCACTGTCTTCTTTTTCTTTTCCTTATTTTCCATCTTTCAGTTGAGATTCCTTCACTTCCCTGTACTTGGCAAGGTTCATTCAAATTATAAATCCAGCCCTGGGCAATAACATTGTACTTGTCCTTAGTGGAGAGTTCCCATATCTGGTTTATCATCATCATCTCTTTCACTCTATTTTTCCCAGTTACATTGAGATGAAGCCCATGCCTGATATAACATGATCTATCCAACTCAGTGTCCAGTATTTTCACATTAAGCTGTAACTTCATTATTTCATGCATTTTCCTATTGAATACTTTTATTTCTTCATTAACACATTAGGGGTCCATTAAGTCACATCTGCTATGGGCTGTAATTAAAATAAAATTTGTATTCTTTTTCCTATTTGTAAACTTTTTTAAGTGTCTTAAGTCCATTCATTGTTTCATTTTTTGTAACATCATTTGAGCCTCCCCATAGTATAACCATATCATCCCTAGTTAGGCAGTTAACTTCCTGTTCGCACAGTTGCACAACATTTTGTAATCTTGCTCCTGGCATAACCGTGCCCATAACCTCAAATTTCTTGTCCACTTGGTTTGATAATTCAGATGCATACATATCCTTTCATGTGACTGTCCCCCATTAGTATGATTTTATTTTTCCCTACTTCCTTTTTATTTCTAGCTGTCTGTTCTTTATTTATTCCTTCTAACTGCTTCTGACGATCACAGTCGCTGGTTATTTCGCTGAGTGCTGCAAAGTGGTTTACAATTGTAGGTATTTGTTGTAGTTTACCAACATCATTCCTCGTGTATTCTTCCATTTATTGTTGTCTTTTACTATCTGCCATTCATTAGTTCTTATTTTGCCATTAATATTATGCCGATCAGCATTCGTAAGATCTCCAGTCATACTTATGTTAGCATCTCACTGTAAAAAGTAAAGCTATCCCTGTAACAGGCCATGATGGCCCATGTGGTTGTGAGATGTTGAGGGTCCCACATTATCTAGACAGTTGGCTCAAAGATGGCAGTAAGGTTGTCAGCCTTACGCGCCAGCCATGTTTTACTCCCCAGGAAAATTATTTAATTAATTCCTGGTACTCATTTCTGTCAGAGGCTGAGTTCACCTCAGGGCCATAGTGTTGCCAGAAGGATTAGGTCAATTGAAATATACCCAATGACCTCATCGGGACATGAACCTGCGACCTTCCAACTTGTAGCATAGTGCCTCAACCAACTATGCTACCGTGTGCCGCAGTACAAGGGACTTAGTCCCACCCCACTAGCAATAAAAAAAAAATACCTACGGCTACACTTGGAAGGTAGATGGTAATCTGGATCAGTGATACATTCTATAAGATCCACTTTCATCCCAGGGCAAAGATGATTGTGGTACACCAGCACAGACTGGCCTCATATCTAGATGCTGCCCAGGACAATCAGTCTTGGTGAGGGAGTAGTGTTGTGTGAGCTAAGCATGAAGGGCAGGTCATATACTAGTCTGTGTGAGCCTTTTGTTCAACGAAGGCTCAAGATCTCTTCCTTCTTGGCTCGTCAGTAAATATGGACAGCCGTAGTTCAGTGTGGACATGGAAGAAAATCATGTCAAATCAGACATGGAATAGTTCATGCAGTGAACCACAGCTTAACTCAGAGATGAAAGGAGAGGACAGTGTAGTGAGGTATGGTGAAAGAAAGGTTGACATCAAGAGCATAAGTGGCTACTGACAGTAACTGTTCCAAATGATAAATGTTTAGATTTTTTTTTCTTTTACCAGTATTTATAGACAAAAGCGCCATGTCCCCATTTTCAGGCCTCAAGCGGAGTGGTGGACAGAGTCAGATTATCAATGATGTCTTGTTTGAGCAGAGATTACGTAAGGAGCAGTCAATCAGTCACCAGAAGGAATGTTGCTTCTTGATGGCCCTTTCGTTTAATGTTTTTTAAGTCCTCTTGTCTATTTTATTATATCCATGGTCAGGAATCATAGACGGTTTAGGGTGGATCCTGAATCTCTATTAAAGGGGTCTGGGTGCAGTTAGATCTCAGTGGCCTCCAAACTTAAGAAACCTTGTAAGGCTGGACCAATGATAAGGAACACAAACTGTTATGGCCATAACTTTTCCCATACGATCCATGCTGACATGTCATTGTGGTCTATCTGATTCCGCCCTCTTCCCCACGCATTCTGGGCTGGGATAGAGGACAACTTTGTTTATGAATGTAGCTTGTGAATACAACACTGATCACATAAACATGTGTTAGCTGAGACAGAAAAAGTCTCTTAATTATCAGACACATACTCCATATTCAGGTGGTTGGTCACCTGAGACAATTTCACTTTATTAATATTTATTAATATGTATGTGTATGTATGTATGTATGTATGTATTCCTGCCAAGTACAAGATCTTGCATTTCTGTTCATTGCACCAGAAAAAAAATAGTCACTCCCTGCTTAGCCCACTAATGTCTTACTTGGCCTCCATTTAAATGAGAGTTGCTGAGTAAGTACTTTTCCTACATCAAATTGTTCATCTAAGAAGTACCATAACTACTTAGCTGTGGCATAAATTAATTTAAAAAAATTATTCCCTTCCTTCCACTATATTTTTCTGTTTGAGGGGGGGTGGTGTCCATTCGCTACACTTTTTTCTCTTCCTTTTTAGCAGACCAGATATTCTTTGAGGAAGGCCTCCCTGATCTTTGGGCATTGCTTCACAGCCAGGGAGAGCTCACTGCAGCCCCTGCCACCATTTCTGATCCAGTGACCTGGGTCTTGATGAGCGGTCCATAATTGTCCCCTCCCCTGCAACATCAGGTCCCAATGGTGACAGCCTCACCAAAGCTGTGCTCTCTCTTGGGCCCTGCTTCACATTTTCTCAGGACCTTACAGTGAGCTCTGTAAAAATTGTGCAGCTGATCTCTGTGATGACTTTTGCAGAGTCCCCAGTCTAAAACTGACCTTTCAGCTTAAGCTCCCTATCCAGTGTTCAGTATGAAGTCTTGGGTTGGAGTCCTTAATCTATATCTGCAGTTTATCAGCGCTTTTTGAGACCATGCCCTTAATACTGAGAGACACTGTAGTATACTTAGGGAAGTTCCTAGGTATCAGTTGCTTTCAGCACTGCCCCTCTCGCCAGCCTGTAGTTATCGATGGCTGTAATGAGCCAGACCACTGGTCGGTGCACACATGTCTCTCTACACTGGAAGACCTCAGATTTGGTAGTTTCCTGTTAGGGATCCCTTGGAACATTCTTCCCAGTTCTTTGAGGATCTTGTTCATCCCGTGTCAGTTTATCCTCAGGATTTTTTTTTTTGAGGATAGCTACCTTTACATTGGTCAAATCCTCCCTAGATTTCTGAGCGTCTTGAGTCCCTGGACCTTTTTGGAGGGTTCGCCTTGTCTTTATGGATACAACCCAGCTTCTGGCCTCTTTGGTGGCTATGTTCAAGGTATCTTCCCAGTTGCACGTAGCCAGGCCCCTGGGTTGCTGTATGCCTCCAGTTCCTCCTTGGCTTACCCTAGCTTGCTTTAATTTTTGTCTAGATCACTGAGAACCTGCTGTTTGCTAAGTGAAGACTGCCTACTCCTGAGTTGATTTGTCTTAGACCCTCCCCTTCTGCAGGTGTGCTGGTACTGCCAGCTCCCTGTTGTAGTGTGCCAGAACTACCGGCTCTTGAGAGAGAGAGAGCCCTGATATTTACCACAGGTAAATATCTTACAACCAGTTTGTCCCCGCCTATATTTGAATCCTCAATAGCTGGTTTGCCTGTAGCACCAGTGTCCTGTAATGCTGTTATAGAACCTTCAGCTCCCTGCTGAAGTGTCTCAGACCTCTTTACTTTTTGCTGTACATGCCCCCTATAAGGCGATCCATACTTGTTTTCATAGACTTTGTGGTTTGTTCTCTCACTGGTTTGCACTTATGTCCCATGAGTAATAGATATCTAAGAAGTTTCCACCCACAGTGGACCATACAGGTAGAAGACGCAAATAGAAATGGATTCTGTGTGGTACCTAGAGAGGATTTTTCTTGACTTGGGTCTGTTTCTGCCCCAGTACCACACAGCCCTTGGCATGATGCCTCACAGCTTGTGTGGGTGGACCATTAGGGCATTTGCCATCCTTTAGTATGTTACTTCCCTCTTTGATGTGGATGTTAGGGTTGGTTCTCAGAAGGTGGTGTTCAGTAGATAGATTCTGCTTACTAATCCTTATAAGAGTACAACTGGGAACTATGATGTCATAACAGAAAGTATTTGTTAGTTGGTGGTAGTGACATCAAATTTTTAAAATTGTTCTATTTTTTATCTTGACTACCTAACCAGAAGTATCATTCAAAGTCCAGATTCTGTGCCACATACTGTAACACTGATAAAACCTTCTTGGGAAACCAGCCACATCAGTTCAAAAGTCAAAGCCTGACTTTGGCTCCATATTTACATGTTTGGTCATCTCAGGCAATTATATCACTTTTAATTAACATTCTGTAACATGCTCCCTTTATGATGAAGTGTTTGTTTCATCCTGAAATTTCTAAAAATCTGACATAATGATAAAGTTATCCCTGTGCATAATTAAGCACCACATCATGAAGACATATGGGGGAGTTGAAGTATAGCTCCATTATTTGAGCCCAGCTACAAGCAGATGTCAGTGGTCGGCTTCATACTTCGGCCACTTACCCCCAGGACTCATTGTATAGGAGGCTGGATGGGCCCCAGAGCAAGTGTGGATGCCCATATCAGAAATTGAACCATGATTCCTTGACTGTTCAGCCCATAGCAAAATGCTAACATAAGAAAATATTTTCTTTCAGAATCTGGGGGACGAATTTGAACCAGTTATTGTCAGTCAGGCAACACTGCAAGCTATGGAACCTAGCACAATACTGATCTGCCGGTGGCCACCTCCCCTACGTTACCAATTCTACCGCAACTTATTGCCAGATTTACAGATCACTCTTTGTAACTCTTGCAACAAGGTAAGAACTACTCATGCCCTCATTGTATTTGTACAGCCACAAAATTCATCAATATGAATGTGATAAAAAATTAATGATCAAGTTCTTTTTCATTTTCATCATTTTTTATGCATTATGTATGACAATTCTAAATATGAATACCCATATATTTAAAACAGCTATTCCCTAAGTGCTATACATACTGGCTGACTTCCACTTTTTATGTTACCCTTAGGCTGTGAAGTGTCAGATGGAAATCAGAATTACTGCATCTTATATTCAGTGTGTTAGTTGTAATGCAGTATATAGTGAAAATTGTCTACAACGGATCCTGTACCAAGAAGAAAATGGCGCCTTGAATTCAGCACAAACATCAAAATAAACCCACTTGAAATAAGCAGAAAATAATGCCGAAATTGTGAACATACAGAAGACTTTAACAGAAAATATTCTTCATATTTTTTAATATTATCAACCCACCTACACCTTGGTCTTCCCAATGGCTTTTCCATCTGGCTTTCCCACCAGCATCCTATATGCATTCCTCTTCTCCGCATTTGTGCTACATGCGCTGCCAGTCTCGTTCTCTTTGCTTTGATCATTCTAATTATACTTTGAAAGGAGTACAAGTTATGAAGCTCCTCCTTCTGCAGTTTTCTCCAACCTCTCACTTCATCTCTCTTTGTTCCAACATGTTAACATTTGACTGGGTGTTCTAACCCTAAATTTTCACACATGTCATTTTGATGTTGCAGAATATCTGGAATGAAAACCTGTGGTCATATGTTGATCAGTAATGATATGACATAAATATAAAGTCTACCAGATATTTTCCAGTTCCTTCAAAAGTCGTTTTGGAGACACACTTTGTTACTGTACATGTTTTCTCTTTTTCTCATATGTATGTTTTTCCTGAAATGAGGGCTTTTTACTGTGATTTGACTACTTCAACAGAATGAGGAACCATGAACATTTTGTGTGCCTGTGTGTAAGCATGTTAAGTTTTTTTCTTCCCCCCCTAGGTTTTCCATGTAGATGACTTTGAGCTGCAGGTTCTTCAGAAAGGACATTGTCCATTCTGTCGATCAACTACACAGCACTCAGGAAATGAGGTCAATGAAGTAACTACTTTGTGAAAATAACAACTCGGGCATCGATGATATTGATGATGATGATGATGATGATGATGACGATGACGATGACAACGGTGGTGGTGGTGATGGTGATGCTGCTGCTGATGATGATGATGATGAAGAAAATGACGACAACAGAGAGCACAGAAGAAATAGTTTAAATTTTCATAACATGGTTTTTGTAATATACAATTGGCAAGTAAAAGTTGTATATGACACAGAATTTGAAAATACAGTAGAACTTGGTTATAACGTCATCAAAGGGACCTAAACATAGTGTCGTTATAAACGAATGTCGTTGTAACCGAAATGGGGACTTCCACAGTAGCCTTATGTTAGTCACGTAAAAATCTACCAAAAACCGAGTTAAAATGTTGCATTTTTTAGTGAAATACGTAGTTAAGTACAGACTAACGTAACATTAACGTGGAATTGCCCAAATGTGTAATATCAAAGACATATTATAGCGCTTTTCACTGACAATACACACAATATTTCAAGAATCACTTTAACTTTCTTTTCAATGCTTAAAACTTTCCTTTTCATTGCCATGTTTTCGCTACTGCACTTCTCTGGGTTTAGGCAGGAACACTATAGGGTAAGTAGACAATGTGAAGTCCTGTTAACGAGATTCTAGGAAAGGAATGCAGTTAACAACCTGCCGCGTCCTCTTGCACTATTCACGCAGTCCCACCCCACACCCTTCTTTCGCATAAAACCCACGCTCCTCTTGCAGCCGCGGTCGTAGTCTTCCAGGACAGTCACGTCAGCAGGTAGGGAAAGTGAGGGTGAACAGACACATCGAACTTTCCCAAGATATCAGAGAAATTCAGGAATGAAAATGACGTTACATACGAGGTTGATGCATTTGTGCATGTCGTACTAAGCAAGGTATGAAAACAGTTGCTTTATGAGGAATTAGTCCGTACCATTGAATATTTTACACAATAGACAAGGTGTCGCAGAAACCGATGTTGCTATAACCAAGTTTTACTGTATCTTAGTAAGTTCATTCACTTTCACTCATGGAGCTGAGACCTTGAGAAGCCTCCAATTGTGCAGCTACTCAAAAACTTCCCAGCATTTTATGCAACCTGGAGGTTGATTACCATGTTCACAAGAGCCCTCCACCAGTCCCTATCCTGAACCAGATCAATCCAATAGATACCATCCCATCCCATCCCTCAAAGATCCATTTTAATATTGTCACCCCACCTACGCCTTTGTCTTCCAAGTGGTTCTTTCCATCTGGGTTCCCCACCAATATACTCTATGCATTCCTGTTTTCCTCATGCCCTACCTATCTCATCCTCCTCGACTTGAACATTCTAATTATACTTGAAGAAGAGTACAAAATTATGAAGTTCCTCATTATGCAGTTTTCTCCAACCTTCTGTCACTTCATCTCTCTTCAGTCCTGATATTCTCCTCAAACACCCTCGGTCTGTCTTCCTCCCTTTATGTCAGAGACCCAAGTTTCACACCCATACAGAGCCACAGACAAAATTGTTTTTAGATGGCAGACGAGAAGAGAAAAGGTTCTTGACTGAATGGTAGCAAACAGTACTCAAGTTCAGTCTCCTCTTAATTTCTTCCTAAATCAGGTTTTGATTCGTTTTAGTCGTTCCCAAATATCTGAACTGTGCCACATTTTCAAAACATTTGTTAGCTATCTTTATGTCATGATTTTACCCTGCATTCTGGTGATGAGACAGGAACATATACAGTTTTCTGTGTTTACTTGTAAACCAGCCTCCTTACTAGCGTCAATTAAAGTTTGTGTATTTCTATTTATGGTATCTATATTAACACCCAGTAGATTCACATCATCACAAAAGTCCTACAGCTGATGTGTACCGTTTAATTTCAGTCTCACCTGGTTTTCCTGAACCTTCTCTTAATGGCATATTCTAAAGCCAAGTTGAAAATAAATCTCTATAAACATCTTGTTTTAGACCATTCTGGATAGGAAAATAATCAGCCCAACTAGTTTCATGGTACCCCAAACTCTATCAGAATATTGTACAACACTTCCCTCCTGACTGAATAATAGGCTTTCTTGAAGTCTACGAATAGCTGATACGAGTATACTGTCTCATTGTACTCCCTTTTTTTTCCAGTATCTGGCAGATGCAAAAAATCTGAGCAGTATTTGATCTGTTACAGTGAAACCCACACCATGATCCCCAATAATTTCATCTGTGTATGGACTTAACCTTGAGAGAAGAATATTGAATAAATTTTTTATGTGGTTGATAGCAGTGATATCTACTACAGTCAGTTTTTTCACCCTTCTTGTGAACTGGTACAAAATTAGACTTCTTCCACTATCAGGAAATTTTTCATACTCCAAATAGAATTAATTAGCTTATTGATTTTAGATTTTGCTTGAAAGCAAAGTTATGTGTTCATAGATTTCAGTCGTCCGAGGAGGTGGTCATTGCCACAAGAGACGCTGTATGGAAATTTCCTGCCAATATGTTTCAGCAATGTTTTTGGCAGCTATATCAACGTTGGCAGACTTGCATAGCAGCCAATGGCAACTATTTTGAGGGCCGATGTGATCTGTGTAAGTGTATGTGAATACCTTATAATATGATGTGATAAAATCACATTCCACGAACTTAATGACTCTACCACATATTATGCCCACGTATTTCGCTTGGATCCTATAAACGCTGCATTTCGGCTTGTTTTCTTTTGTTGTTCTCTCTAATAGTATCCCAAGCTTTATTAGCATCCACCTCAGTTTCTAAGTTTTCCATGGCTGCAACCTATTTGAGATCTTAATATGATGCTGCTCTTTACCCTCGACCTCGTTTAATTTCTTATGATTAAACCTCTCCATATGAACTCTGTGCTTTGTTTTTTCCTCACTGCCAGTACTGAAAAAGCTAGACAGAAATAACTTGAACTTTTTCCAACATCTCATGGATCTTGCATCATGACAATGCACCTGCTCACATGACACTGTCTCTGAGGGGGTTTTTAGCTAGTAAACAAATAACTGTGCAGAGACACCAGATCCAACCCTCATTGACTTTTTTCTCTTCTGAAGATAAAGGAAATATTGAAAGGAAGGCATTTTGATGACATTGATGACATCGGGAATAATACGATGGCAGCTCTGAAGGCCATTGTACAGAAAAAGTTCCAAATTGTTTTGAAAGGTGTAATAGGCATAGTGCAATACTTCCCAAGGGTAGTTCTTTGAAGATGACTGCAGTGATATTCTACAGTGGCACTACTTTACCACTATGAGCTCGCAAACTTTATTATCAGACCACATACAACTTATGGGGCAAACTGAAACCCTACACACTCAAACAATTACTCCAAAGGCTATCCTGTAGTGTCATCCACTCAAACTTTTGTTGCCAGAATGGTCCAGAAAACAATACAATAAATCACACAGATACTGGGTTTGGGTATCAGAATTCCTTGATAATATGAAAATCAACACAGTCAGTTAATCAATTAGTAATAATCCTAATGAAACCTAAATAAACATTAATGTACTTTTGGCTGTTATAAGCCTTCAGGATTTGTAGGAACTCCTTTTAGAGGATCAGGTACTAACAGCTCAGCTACATTGTTTTCTGTGTACCTAACATCACTGACCCTGTGTACATTCAGTAACTCAGAGTAGTTCTTCCACCTTTTCAAAATGTTGTGGGAGTCTGGATGTAGATCACCATTCTCATCCTTCACTAAGTTACTTTTAGGTTGGTAATCCCTCTTAAAGTCATTTATTCCTTTGTACAGGTCTCTAATCATAGAAAAACCAAAAGGTTCAGTACCAGAACCAACCACTGGACATGCCAAGCCAGATCCATATTTCAGCCTCACAACTCATCTCAAGATATATTTTGATGCTGCTTTCCTGTTTTCAACTGACTTCAAAACTGCTCCTTTCCCCACCAGAGTACCAAACAGACTTTGTGTCTCACAGCCAGGCTATATGCCCAGCCCCCAACTTTCTACATTTTGCTGTCCTAATAGCACTATGTAACCCAAAGCTCATTAGGTAGTGTCATAAATTGTTCCCCACTTCCTTCTTCATAAGTACAGTTATATTCCAGAGCACTTTGCGACGTCTCACCTATCCTTGGCCATGGTTGGATCTCAACTGTCTCTGGTGCCGGCTATCCCAAGATTGTCTCGTTCTTAATACTCAATTCTCTGTAAGTGTCATAAGCTCTGCTTATATAGGGGTTATGTGAACTGGATACCAGACATCATTTCTCGCGGTTCCATTGCCACTGTTCAGGCAGTCCGTTGTTACGGGAACGTTCCTTATAGATTACACTGGTAACATGTTTCATCTCATCTGTTTAATTTCTCGGTTATAATTAGGGCCCGGGTTTCTGTGACATGTCATATTTTCTTCCCAGGGTTTGTTCCTATTTTTAAATGTAATTGTATATGTTTCTAGTCAGTCTTATTGAAATTATATCGTTTTTATTCTGCATATAAATGCATATTTTAGAGTTTTATTGGTTTTACAGCATATCTTGGCATAATTTTGAAACAGGGTCATATTTTTGTCATTTTAGAATCAATTCTTTGATATAATGTAAAATTTTGGCTCCAAAATATTTTTTACTACAAAATGAATTTCAGACTGGACTGTTGCTTCAATGTGGATTAGAGTTCCTGTGCATGATGTTCGTATTAAAAACCATATTTTTTACTGGACTGTACTTGCAGTTACAAAGGCGAAAATTTGTGGAATGCAGCATTTATGACCTGGCTAGCTCGCCTTTCCCAGTCTCCGTCTTACTATACTGTATATATGTAGAAATAGATAGCCATGTGTTTTATGGAGGGCTTAAAAGTATTCTATTTATACGTATATGTGGAGAGCCTTGAAACACTTCAGTTTGACTTTACAATGCATAGAGTGAGTACACGTAGTTCAAGAAGCGCAAAGTTGCATAGTTTCCTACAGGAGTTTTTTTGTGAAAAGTGTTTAGTACCGATGGAGAGAGATTTTATTGCAAGTTGTATGACGTGAAAGTTATGGCAGGAAAACGATTTACTGTGCATTATTATTGTTATTATTATTATTCAATGAACAATGGGTCACAATTTTCAAATAATTTGTGAATGGATGGTTTCTTCGAATATTTCATCAGAGAAATTACATAATCAGCACTTCAAAAATTTTTGGAGACATACATTTGTTATCCTATCCCAAGTGCATCGACGTTAGGAAAAAATTATCTCTACATGTTATGAAGATGCGAACATCTGCTAGTGACAAGAGACTTCTGATGTAGATAGGCGGTATATCGTGAATATTATAGTTGGGACCTTTAACGGTCCCCTTATCACCTCCTCTTCTTCAATTCACCTATTTAACAGTCCTTCTCACCTACCTCCTTGTTTACTTAATTATGATCTTCCTTGTACTAAATTTCTCAGGGTTAGTTAGTTTCTAAAGGGGTGAGGTTGATAGATTCAGTAGAGCTGGGTTCTCTTATCTCAGAGCCTTACACGGGCCACACTCAAAGAAGCAGAAATAACACAGACTACCAAAGCACATTCACATTAAGAGGTATTATTATTCAACACTTGTTGGTCACCATTTAACACTTTACAGTTGGCTACTTGTTGTGACACTTTTGTAACTAAACCACTTTTCAGGTTTAAATTTATTATTATTAAAACTTGTTTCTGTCTAAGTGGTTAACACTTTACAACTGACTACTACCAGTATATTTTCTTAAGGGCTGGAGTGTGAGACTTTACTTCTTTCCTGCACTTCCTTGTCTGGTTCTTACGAGTCCCGGTGTTTGATTGACTTCGACAACTTTTACTTCTACTTTCTACGGAGCCCGGTGTGACTTTTCACGTCTGGTTCGTACGAGTCCCGGTGTGTGACTTTTCATCTGTTTCTTACAAGTCCCGGTGTGTGACTTTCACGTCTGGTTCTTACGGGTCCCAGTGTATGACTGACTTCAACAACTTTTACGTCTGTTTCTTACGAGTCCCGGTGTGTGACTTTCTTTGACAACTTTTACGTTTAGTTCTTACGACTCCCGTTGTGTGACTTACTTCGACAACTTTTCTACTCGGACCTTCAAGTCATTCTTTCCTCAGTGTCTCGGCTGTCACACCCTTAAATTTTAGTGATTGATTATATTTGAAAAATAGGAGTATCTTAATTAGATATTCCTCCACTCCATTTAAAGCTTACAAGGGTTTAAGGATTTCTGACTACAACGTATTCCTGTCAGAATCTTGACAAATGTGAAGCGTGGCATGTGTTATAAAAACTTCACTCTTTTTAAGTTATGGCACGCACAAACTGCCAAGTACTGAATTCACAAAGGCTTCTTTAGTCATTCTTTCATGTAACTTTTCTAAGGGACCTTCGACGCTGTGTCTTCCTGTAAGCATGGGAAGACGCTATTTATTATTATTAGAGGGGGTGGGTTTCCCCATGCACCGCAACTAATAGTCTATTGTACATCCCCCCTTTGATATTCTACCAGTTGCCATACCCTACCAGTACTGGTGCGTGCTATCAACCCCGTTCAGCCAAGAGGTCGGCCCTCGGTACCTGATACTTCCCCCATATACCAGAGGCATTGGAAACTACTTGGGCAGGAAATTTGTGCCTAATTTTGCTCAGAGGTCTCCCAGAGACATGAGGCTTTTTACGTGCCATAAATCTATGACACGGGACCCACGGCTTAAAGTCCCTCCTGGGGGACTTGTTCCCTGAATTTTTCTGCCCTTAAAAATTCCACAACCTCCACGTACCTTGAGTCATGAGGTGGGAACGTTACCCCTAGACTACGGAGGCTGCTGTGGGAAGACGCTAACTCTTACATACAAAAATGGACCTATGTCTCCCTACACTTGTTCATTGCATTTCATTTTGAACAATTAAGATTTCAAATTAATAAAGTTGATTACATTCAAATAAGTTGCGTAGCAGTGGGATGATTACAGACCCTGAAACAAGATCAACCTGGAGAGATATTTCTTCTTGATTGTGAAGTTCTTGAAGGAGCAAATCATTCGACTATAGCTGTCCTATTTGATAATTCCATGAGCTTGTTGTGGCCAAATGGAATACAGCGAAATAGTGTCTTTCTCCTAGTAACAGATGCTGCTCCATACATGAAGAAGGCTGCCAAAGGACTTCAAAGGCTCCACCCGAAAATGAAACATATTACTTGCCTCGCTCATGCATTGCATAGAATGGCTGAAGAAGTTCGAGGACATTTTCCGGATGTAGATAGGCTAATTTCAAATGGAAAGAAAATATTCATCAAGGCCTCTCTTCGAGTACATAAATTTAAAAAAGGAGCTCCTCTGCTGCCACTTCCTCCACAGCCTATCATCACACGGTGAGGTACATGGTTGGATGCTGTGGCATATTATTGTGAAAATTACACAACCCTTGAGAAAGAGTTTAATGGCTTTGACAGCAGCGAGTCAACATCAATTGAAGCTGTCATGGACTTCTCTACCTCTAGCACAAAATCTGACAGATATAAAGTCAAAGTGCTATTCAATTTCAAGTGCAATAACTCACCTGGAAGCTGTAGGCACTGAACTCTGTGATGAGTTGGACACAGTAAAGAGCAGTGAGAATGAACTAAACCGAACTAAAGATTAGAACCAAAATATAAAGTGTACTTCATTGGAATGTTGGTTATTCAACAATATGCAAGATTGCAGATATACTTTCCGATAAACCAGCAACATTTGAAAATGATCCAGACTCACCAAACGAACTGACATTCTTCAAATATCCTCCTGTTACATCATGTGATGTGGAACAAAGTTTCTCCAAATACAAAACTATCTGCAATGACAGTCAGTGATCTTTCAAATTTGAAAATGTGAAAATACATGTAGTTATAAATTGCAATTGTAACAGTGAAAATTGAGACGTGAATAACTTGTGTTACAGAAACACTGAAAACTGAGAGCCGAATAAGCTTGTGTTCCTTTAAATGGTGTTTTTAGATAACAGAGTTAAGTTAATGTTTATATCATATGCGCCAGTGTTTGTCTCAAATATGAACGCAAATATCGATATTAAAATAAAAACAAAAAATGGTTTAGTCCAGTACAAAATGTTACAAATTCATCAGTTTTCTTTCCTTCAAAAACATAATAAGGCTAATTTGGCAAGTAGGGCCTACTATCATATATTCATCATTTTTATTCTTAAACTGTAGTAAAAGTTGTAATAAAAATTGTTAAATTACAGGTCCCATTTAATATTTAAGGTCATATTAGATGTAATATTGGGTCATAAGTGCATGCATATATTTGTGGTTTTTAGGTCATAAAAATCTGGGCCCTAGTTATAATACTCTGGATCCGGATTTTTACTCAGAATTTTATGAGGCACAAAACGTTCCATACCCTCGAAAACTATGTCCTTGTAACTTAAACATATCTCCTCTACCCATCTACCATTCCCAGCCCACAAGGTAAACTTTTCCCGAAGAGGTTTGTAAACCAAAATATTTGTCTTGTGGTATAACGGGACTATCCTTTCCATTTTTGGCTGTTGACAAATATCATCCCCTTCTACTTCCAGTAGTACCCCGCTATGATCACTGATGCCAGGTACAATGTTACAAGAGGTAAGGGAATTATCAGGCCTGAGGAGGTAAATGTCCAGTAAGGTGTCTCCTCTTGTTGTACCACCTACAACCTGGGTATAGCCATTATCCCATAACATTTTTTTTACCAATGCTTGAAAGCCGCTTGTTTTTTCTGCATCCCCATTCCAGTCTGCCTGAGGCAAGTTCAAATCGCAGTAAATAAAGATCTCAATGTAATACTGAAATATTTGTCGTGTTGACAGTAGCACAGCTCCTACATACTGTATACTGTACACAACAGGATGCAAACAATGAAAATACGTACTGTATGCTATTTCCAGTCTAAGTATGTTTGCTATTAAGTGAGTAAGACCTGTTGCCTTTTTGAGTATCATCAATGTGTCTGGTTGTTCCTAGCTGTCTAAGGGCTTGGTCAGAGTAGCAAGAGCCCTGTCTTATAAGGACCTCATTCAGGGGTCATTTTGCTAATTGATGATTCTACCTGTAAGTCTTCATTAATGACCAAGGGCTGTGCTCTGTCTTCCTACTGTTCAAACAGCATTCTGAAGGCTGCCATGGTTACAGTCCATCTACATGCTTTTAATACCTTCTCCAGTTTACAATCAACAATACTTTTATTTTATTACCATCACACAATTTGTCACATTCAATTGCTGACCTTTACTTTAAATACCTTCTTCGATCATTTGCCATCAATCAAATATTATTCTATTTTGGTTGTAATCACTCACATGTTTTGATTCAATCGCCATGCGGTTCACCTGAAACCAAACACTTCCACTTTGCAAGTCTGCAATTCTGTGTAGATCCTGGATCCATCTTAAGAGAAGGAGACTATGAAGTTGTCGGAACTGTATTGACTTAGCCTTAAAAATTGCTGAATTGTGGGTTGTAACTTATCTTGGGGTCATAATTTATTAACTGTAATCATAACAGCCAGAAGGTGACATACTGTTGGTAGATATAACGATATTTCATCATATGTGCACAAGATTAATATTTTCCTTCACTAGTATTCAACTAATCATTAACAAATAAGGGACTTCTATCACATAAATGAGCTTAATGCTGAAAAATAATAATACTTTAATATTAATACTACTTCACAATATCACAAGTATATTGTTTCCAAATTACAAGAACAGAAGAGAGGTATGTCACACATGCATTTTTAATAGAGAAATAAATACTTCTTTTATCAGGAAAAATATAGGCACTTTATATTTTTAGTTCACATTTAAAAAATCTCAAGATGGAGTTATAATACAATACAATGGATGACATGGAACATTCCCTAACATGACAAGCGTTCCATAATATATGCCGACAGTGAAGTCAGAATGATCTATACCACGTACGATTTAAGGTTCTCACAGCAGTGCTCTCATTATATAATGCCGTGCAGTCTGCTGAAAGTAAACCCACGTTTTGGAGATATACTCATATAGAGCCTCCATCTTCTAGGTCGAAGAAAAAGCCAAATAAGAAACCACCATGAAACAGGCAGCAAGTGGACCTGCTTCATGCTGACATTTTGCTTGGCTTATTCTTCAACCCTGAAAATGGAGATGATACATTCTTCTGAAATGTAAATTGGCTTTCAATGGACTACACAATCTTATATCCCAGAAGACAGCACTCTTCATGATCCTCACTGTTCACATTTTGTATACTAGTACATATAAATCTAACATGAAAAACCTTTCACCTTCACATCAGATCTACATAACACAGAAGTTAATACAAATTAAAACAGTGACTGGTTTTGTAAGTAAAGAAGTTACACATTTCATCACAATTTAAATATACAAATTATATACAGTGAATCTGAAAGCACAGTCTGATGACCATTAATATCTGAAACCGTGCTATTAAGTTGTATTAACATAGCCACTATTCTAGAGCATAACGCCTTCTTCAACCATTGAAAGGGGCAACTGCCTCCAGAACAGTTTCCTTATACTCCCTGCAATGCATAATCACCATAGCAGCAAGTTCCTTGATACGAGGATATGGCTTTTCATTACGTATAATCTCCTCCAAAATGTGTATCCCCCCTTCTGACTCCACCAAAGAGCAGTATCTGGTAGCTGCAACATACAAATGCTTTTATGATATGTTAAACTGTACATCAAAATGGATACTTTCCTTTTCTACAAGAAATTCACAACTTATGCTCCCACACACTTAACAACTTTTGAACAGATTGAAAAGTTTTCTCAAAACTTGTTATGAATGTCACCCCACCTATGTAGCTTCTTCAATTCATTATTATTTAACGAATTTAAAAATAAAACTGATATATGCAATGCAATTAAGCAGGTCCAGTTATCTCGAAGAAGTGAGAGTACTCAACTTCTGTGCTCAAGGAAAATGTTAGTAAACTAAAACTTGAGATTACTGCTTTCAAACATACTTATCAGTCAGCGACACAAACTTTTGGAATCTGTGCTATCGCAAACTGTCCTACTCTGAAATGAGTGTCAATAAACTTGAATTAATGTTTTGGTTATGCTTACATAAGTGAATCAGGGTTTTTAGCATGTTACTAAAGTAAAGATCATCAGCTGATAAACATTTAAATTAACCCATGAGAGTGGCTACTACAAAACATATTCCTATCTATAATAAGCTAACCAAAGTAATGCAGTGACAGGTCATCACACTGAATTCCATAACCTTGTTCAGATAAACTGTTTCCCTAAGCAAACATTACATACACACTCATACAACGTTTTCTTGAGTAAAATAAAGCAAACTCCACAATTTATTAACTCTATCCAATCTGGTAATATACTTTTTTTTTTTCATTTTTTCTAAGACTATTCAAGGATTCTGTTGTTAAAAATGTTATTACAAAAATAACAGAAAATGCTAATCACCTTATACGTATATTATATTATATTATATATATTATACGTATATATTTCTCTGTTTCCCTTTGGGTCTTATATTATGAAATACTGTTATATTTTAAAGACATTATGAGCTTCATTTTTATGAAGCTATAAATTACATTACTAATAAATGTTGTAAAAATGTGCTATAAATAAAGACATCCTAACCTACATTGTGAAATACGTTTTTATGTATATTTTATTGTATAT